CTTGCTCAAGGACATTCCTTGGGTGGGTTAAAAAGATAGAATTATAATTCGGGTTTTCTGATTTTAAATCTGGTATTTTTTAATCTCTCCCATGAGATCCCTTACTCTCTTCATTTACTGTTTAAGAATAATTACGGTAACAAAAACCATAATGTTATTTTTAGAGTGCCTTTTAGTTCTCACAATGTTTTCACCTACTTAACTTGGAAACAAAACAATGGGCTTTAATGGACTAAACAGGAAGTACCTGAGCTCTTCCAGGCAAAGGGGAATTTAAACATAATGAACGGGAAATGTCCTAGTAGCCATGTTTCTGCCAGTGTGGGTTGTTTTTAGCCTGGATCCCTATTGCTAAGATTGACTATAACTCTTGGTCATCACCCTGAGGCAGAGAACAAAGTGTTCAGAATCAGGACACAAAGGACCCTGTTCAAAGAGCAGAACTGCAGCATGGAGGAAAATCAAAGAGAAGTGATTTCCGGGGAAAGCCAGAAGTTAATAGATCAGTAAGATTTCTTGGTGGTGAGCAACAGAATCCTATGCTGGCTAAAATAGGGAGGGAAATAAAAAGAAAAGCATTGCTCTGCTGTAAGGTACTTCTAGGGATGGAAAGGAAGGTGGGAGAAAGCAGACTTAGCTACCAGGCAACTCCGGATTGTTTCACAAATGGGAATGAATGAACATGGGCCTTACCGTTAGCCATGGTTTTATTTCCTTCAAGAATTAAAATCCCAGAAGAGAACATCCAATTGGCCAAGCTCAGGTTATGTGCCTGCCCTTGACTGTATGCTGTGGTTAATAAAAGTACTTGTAGAGGTGGCCTTCAAGGATGGTTTCGACTGTGCTAGCAGGAGAGCAGTCACCTGGTTTTACTATCCTTCCCATCAAGAGCACAGAATGATCGCAGGACCCCTTTGTTGACAGAAGAATGGCCAGACCTGTAGGGAATTATTATAAAAGTTTATTGGAGCCACTGATGACATATGCCGGGGAACAAGATCTCAAATGCTCCTGAGAATAAGTTTTCCATCTTCTTTTATGCCTTTGAAATTAAGGAGGGACAGTAAATAAGACTACCTGGAGGTGGGAAAAAGCAAGATGGGCATTGGATTAAAGTATAGTTAACAGATTATGCGCTTTCTTGAGGATAGTTAAGGTTTACTTCAAAAGTGTGTTACCCTAGATGCCCAGAAACCATGAACAGGGCTTGCTTAAGCCTAAGATAAACTTTTTTCTAAAGAAGTTATATGCCTGGGGTGTGACTACCCACCATGACCTGCCCAGTTAGGAATGTATGATCAGATCACCCTGTGAGGTTACTTTTCATAGAGCCCACACCCTTCAAACCCGCAACCGGTTTAGCATATGGGAAGACACTCAACCAACTGAGCCACCTGGCCAAGCAAAGACAGATAGATTTTTATATCTGCTTTTTTATTGACTTAGTTCGATATTTTATTTGGGTTAAATTATATGAAGAAAAGCTGGCCTGACATAGATGTGTAGTAGGAAAAGGGAGGAGTGTTTTAATAGCCTTTCAGTTAATTGTGGAGATTCTTCTTTGATACTATATCAAAACTAAACAAGAAGTAGTTTCTTAAACTCAAAGTCTGTTTTCATGCTTAGATATTTTAAATCCATCAGTACCTCTTATACTCTGAATGGGTCTTTCACCCAGGCGTGATTTTTTACTTTCATGCATTGGTCATTTGGAAATATTGTTTTGCTGAGTTATGCAGCGCTCCCGATGTTCACACACTTCATCGACCATATATAAAATCATAGTGATCAATGTCACTACCAATCTCTCAGAAAACTAGTTAAGCATCGGGGCACTGTCAAGCTCATGATGGTGGATACTAGTTTTCTAATATTTTCTTTCATATGAAATCTCATTAGTAGCAAACATATATTAGCAAAAAAGATTGTCAGTGGTTTTCCTTGAAGTGACAGTCATATTTTATGCATTTGGGAGAAAGTTTCGGCCTCATACTCAGGTCTGAATAACCATGGTTTTCTGTAAGTCATTCTCTCTAGTTAAAACAAAATTCTGAAAAAAAAAAAAAGTTACTCCGGCTCACACTCAAGCAATTACACAAGTGCTTTTTCTCAAGACAACTTACGTATTTCTGTGGAGCACGAAGCTTTTCTCCACAGATTAAAATGACAGGTACCCAGGGGGTGGGACTTAATAAATTAATAATTTATTTTTTATTGAGGTAAAATTGGCATTTAACATTATATATATGTTTCAGGTATACAACATTATATAATAACTCTTATTGTTTCATCACTGAGATTTTAAAATAAAACTGGCTTTAATCCATCAGCTTAATCCAATGTTTTATGTGGTGGTGAAGAGTGTAACACATTGGCTACTAGTACCACTTGGTGGCACTGCCTGAATCTGTGTGAAAGGACCAGTGATTGGACTCACTATTGGGTTTGGTTTTTTGTTGTTGTTGTTTATATTTTTTGTTTCTGGCTTTTTATTTGGTAATACTTAAAATTTTTCAAAAATTAATAATACAGAGAATACCCATATACTCTTTATTTTGATTCACCATTTTTACTCCATTTACTCTCTCTCATTTTTGTTTGCTGAATCATTTGGGGTTAAGTTCCATATATCATTACCATTTAGCCCTCAATATTTCAGTGTGTAGTTCTAAGCGGGATGTTCTCTTCAATAGCCACAATGCAATTATCAACTTTATAAGTTACATTGGTACAACATTTTTATTGCCCAGATTCAAGTTTTGGCAGTTGACCTAATGAGGTCATTTATATGTACAAGATCCATTGTGGAGTCAGATGTTACATTTATTTCTCTTGTCTGTTTAGCCTCCTTAATTTGAAATGTATTTCCACAACCCTTTTTCGTTCTTTTAAGACACTGACATTTTTGAGAGTAAAAAGGCCACACTCTTTGCAATATTGTGATTTGTAAAAAATGCATATTTGGTCATTTGAATAACCAAAATATATTTTTCACATATATGTTAGGTCTTCATCCACAATTCCTGGCTCATTGCTCCTGAAATCCTTGGAATTGTCCTTGTGTTGAGACTGAGAAAATCGTCTTTTGTTATGGTAATGAGCGACTTTGGAAGCACCTATTAAGGGGGGCCATTATCTGGAGAACCAACCATGTGATTCTAGGGTTGAAACTTTCAGTCCCACCATACCCCCTGACCTCCAGAGAGGAGAGAGGGGCTAGAGATTGAACAAACTCCAAAGGCCAGCGATTTAACCTGCCATGCCTATGTAATGAATCTTCTTTAAAAACCCTAGAGCAGTGGTTCTCAACCTTCCTAATGCCGCGACCCTTTAATACAGTTCCTCATGTTGTGGTGACCCCCAATTTCATTGTTACAAATTGAACATAATTAAAGCATAGTGACTAATCACAAAAACAATATGTAATTATATATGTGTTTTCCGATGGTCTTAGGCAACCCCTGTGAAAGGGTCATTCGACCCCCAAAGGGGTCGCGACCTACAGGTTGAGAACCGCTGCCCTAGAGGATGGGGTTAGGAGAGCTTGCAGGTTGGTGAATATGTGGAGATACTGGGGGACATGCTCAGCTGGAGAGGACTTGAAGCTCCGTGCCCCTTCCCACATACCTTGCCCCATGCATTTCTTCTTGGTGTACCAGACGACACTCCAAACAACTGAGCCACACCGACCAAGGAGAATTCTTATTTTTTCAGTTATTTATAATATATTCCTATACTTAATTATTTTGGTGCTAAAATTGTCCCAGATCTGGCCAGTGGGAGCCCTCCAAACTGCCTCCTGTGTCCTTGTGACATGTTACAATCACTTTTTCTTTCCTGAGCCCTTTCTTACTTTCTGGTATAGGTTGCTGCCAGTTCATCTTGTACCTACTTTGCCTCAGTCCTTGACGCAGCTATTTCTTCAAGGGGGCTGATTCCTAAGTTCATTATATGGTAAGGTGTTCATAATTTACCTTGTATAATGTGTGTTACATGAGCTTAATTGAGGAACTAAAAGTCCTTACTTAGTAGCTGGGAGATCTTGATCACTTAGCTCAGCGGTTCTCAACCTGTGGGTCTCGACCCCTTTGGGGGTCGAACGACCCTTTCACAGGGGTCGCCTAAGACCATTGGAAAACACATATATAATTACATATTGTTTTTGTGATTAATCACTATGCTTTAATTATGTTCAATTTGTAACAATGAAAATACACCCTGCATATCAGATATTTACATTATGATTCATAACAGTAGCAAAATTACAGTTATGAAGTAGCAACAAAAGTAATTTTATGGTTGGGGGTCACCACAACATGAGGAACTGTATTAAAGGGTCGCGGCATTAGGAAGGTTGAGAACCACTGGCGTAGCTCCTCCCCTTCACTCTTTTCCTTTTTTCTTTTCTTCTCCCCTCCTCTTCTGTCTCCCCTCCTCTCCTCCAAGAGTCCTCACATTCTTTCTTTTTTCTCCACCCACAGCACTTTGATTTTTTAAACAAACAAACAAAAAACCACAAAAAACTAAAAATCAAAAAACACATGAATGTTGAAGTTGAGCTAGCCTGGGTTTGAACCCACTTACTGGTTACTTGACTTTGAGCATGTTATATTTTCTCTCCCAGCCTCACTTCCTCCATCTGTACCTTGACACCAATACAGGCATACCTTGTTTTATTGCACTTTGCTTTATATGCTCTTCACAGATTTCGCGTTCTTTTTACAAACTGAAGGCAAGACCCTCCACCAGCAAAAAATATTACAACTCACTTTATTGCAGTGATGCCAGGCACTACACAGTCACTGAGATGATTAGATGAATGACAGCACAAGCATTCGGCACATTGTTAAGGTCATAGAAGATCCTTCTATTAATCTACCTTAATTTCTTTAATCACAGTCAGCATTTGCTCCTGTGCTCACTCCAAAGCTCCTTGGCCTCTGTCCTTAGATTATCCCATTTCCCAGATGCTGTTTTATTCCCCTTGTGCTTTGCTCTGCCAGTGCCCCCAGCAGACCTACAACTTCCAGATGCTGAGAGAAAAGCCCTTGATTCAGGCTGAATGCACAGATGATATTCACGAAAATGCAGATGGCACATTAGGTACCTGTGGGAAGCTTGTGTGTTGGATTGGAAACAGGCAAAAACAAAATCTTTTGGCAAAAACAGGCTCCTGGTAGAGGGTGGGCAGGAAGGAGCAGAGGCAAACGGGGGCTGACTGGTATTGCCGTATTTTTCTTCTGGAGCCCAAATCTCCTGCTACGGCTCAGGTACAAATGGAAGACATGCCCCCCCTTCCCACCCACCCCGGGAGACGGGGGTGATTTATCTGAAGGATAGGATGAGAAGAGCTGGGATGCAGGGAGACAATATCTTGCAGAATAGAGTTGAAATCCACAGGGTGTTTAATTACCCATCTTTGTGTCAGATGGTTAAATGAGCCTGATCGGGGAATGAGTGCATGAAATCGGTGGAGTTGGGGGGCGGGGGGCAGATTGAATGCACCACTATAACTGTGACCTTTCCAGCCAAACATGGGCAGAGGCTGAGCCCAGGGATGTGATAGGACACAACACATATCTCAACATTTCTGAAGAACAAAACCTGGTCAAGTAGGAAAGTGTGTTCACAAAGACCATTGCAATGACCCCAAGGTAGGAATTATGACTCCTCCGTAGAGAGCAAGAGCTATTTTTGTTCGTCCAAGGATATTCTTTGACAGGGAATTTTATATTTCTATACAAATCTTTTCCCTTTTGGCACCGGTTTCTATTTTCAAAACCTTCATCTAAGTGTTCATGTAGACTCACAGATTGTTAGTGCTAAAGAGATCCTTAGAGATCACTTACTTCCACCCTGTTATTTGTTTCTTTTTCTTTTCTTTCTTTCTTTTTTTTTTTTTGCTAAGATTACTAAAGCCCAGAGAAGTCTAATAAATTCCCCAGAGTCACACAGCTTGTTTGGCATGGGGCCAAGGCTAAATCTTGGCTGCCTGACTCCTAGTCCAGAGCTGTTTCCCAGTCTCTCTTTCCTTTATATCTTCTCAAAAATTAAAGATCCTGCACTTTCTTTGGTCAAACACTACTCATGAAAAAATTTAATAGATGCCACCAGCCAATTCTACATCCACATTTTTGCTTTAAGTGAAGTCATTTCCCCCTTCAGGGAAGTTCCTAATAATCTGAAAGACAGGAATACTCTTTCAATACAGGTTATATAGTTCAGCAGAAACTGGTTTAAGGTTGTTTATACATTCATTCGACAGATATTAATCACTTGCTATGTGCCAGTTACTGTGTTAATCACCATGGTTCCAGTAATGAGACCAGAGAAACTTCACACACACATATATACAATAGAAAAGACCTGGCATTCAGAGTCGACCATACGTTTAATACATTGTGGGGGAATAAAAGGAATGTGTTCTATGAGGGCTGGGAGGTGGATATTTTTGCTATGAATTAGTCAGATATTATAATGTCATATGGCTTATAAAAACCACAGAAGAATCAAAAAAAGATCGTAGCAATTTTTAAAAATTACTTCCATCCTCCTATAAGACCAAAAATAAATAGGAAGGAGGTATTTAAATTAGAATTTAAAACCTAAAGATGACTTGGAACTAACTTAAATACAGGGAAATGTTAACTGGTTATGCTCTGTCTTTATAGAGAACTTTGCAAAAGGAAATGAGCTTACCGTACAGTGGAAGAGATTGTGTTTGCACACATCTCTCAAGTGTTAAGGTAAGAAATCTGGGCTTTGGGGTCAGGGCAGAACCTTTAGAGAAAAGGAGAAGGTTTCTTGTTGGTTAGTTCTCGCCTGCCAAGTTCTTGGTCAGAAACTGTTATGGTGATATTTTTATTCTTTTTCCCAAGCGTAGGCATCCATGGAATCCCTGTGTATTTGCAGCCCCCGAGTTCCTGCTCTACCCCTCTGGGCCTGTCCATAGGCACCAAATCCTATCAAACTTCCCCTAATGAGAGCTGGACCTTCCCCACCGGCCCCCCACCCCCATCGCCCCAGGTCTCAGGCCCATGAGGCTGTGTGGTGGCCACGCCTAAGCATGTTGGCCTAGCACAGGTGCTTAGGGGCTGGTCCTCAGACTGTGGTTCTGGACTCAGCAGGATCAGCATCATCCCCCACCTACTGAATCAGAATCTGCAGTTTAACTTCCATATTGTGCAGAGTATATGTTTGAGAGGCTTTGTTCTAGGACACTGGCCGCCAAGTCAGACAGACTTGACTTCCAAGTTTTGTTCTGCGATTCCCTAACCCTGTGACCATGGCTAAGCCACATACTCTATCTGAGATTCAATTTTCACATCTATAAAATGGGTACAGGAGTTCTTACTTCTTAGGCCTGGATGTTGATAGTATTATTGTGATTATAGTTATTCAGTGGAGGTTATTGTCACCATCCAAAGATGGGACATCTTACTCTTCTCCTGTAAAGTCATAGCCAAGAGCCCCACAGGCTCATGTTGCTTTCCAGGGCTCAGTTCTCCCTCCTTCACCTACTCAGATGAAAAGGCAGAGAGAGAACTTGAAACTTGAGAAA